ACACTACATGTTTCGGCCTCTATCGGCCATCATCAGGTGTATACTCTTAACGTTGCTGCTACACTGAACCCAGTCTAAAATTTAACATTTAAAAACACATTGTTATTTTCTTCGTATTATCAACATCTACCTCGTTGATATGTGTCTGGTATGTAGATTATATTGCACACGTCAAATTTGATTTTCCTGTAGTAGCACTATAAAATCTTTAGTTATGATTTTAAATCCTTTAAAATTTCTCTAAATTTAAAATTTAAAATTTAAAATTGTTAGGGTTACTCGCCCTATGTCTAAAGTGCTGGAGCGGCTAGTTCTTGTTTCCACACTGTACAGGTGTTATCTGTAATATACAAATATTCGTATTATTATTTTATGTACGTAATATTTTCTTATGTGTGTATATTGTTATTTGTACTTACTCAGTGTAGTCTTCCTGTGTGCGTGCCGCTGCTTGTCTTTACTACGTGTGCTGTCTGATGTATTGTGTGCTGAGTTTTATGTTAGTGAGTGTAGGGGGGGAATGGGAATGGGGAATGATGAGGCTTTTTTTGCTGATATGACCAAGATATACCCAAGTGTATATTATTAATATTGTATGTATACATGTTAACTTTTAGAACATGTACTGTAATAGTAGCCTCCAACTGTATTGATGTGAAGGTGTCCCTCTGATGATGGTCTCTGAAGACCGAAACATGTAAGGGCATAAATAATTGAAATAAGAAAAATCTTCACGAGTCACACTAGACAGAACTGTTTAACTTTTCATATAAATATTACTTCTTAAAAAAATTATGTAAAGAAGATTGTTTGGTCTCTTAGTTTGTCTTCCAGCATGTAACATTCCTTAAGTTTCAAGCATCATTTTGTCTGGGAGAGCTGTGTCTTCCTTTTGTTTCATGTAGTGAGTTTTCTAAACAAACCCCACAGATAATCCACCCTCAATTGGTCAGGACTCTACCTTATATGCATATCTTCTGTTGTAATTCAGGCCATGTGGAATAACTCTTGTCAATGATAAAACCAATAATTATATCAGATGATGCACTGTAGATGCATCAAAGGTAAATAGTAAATTTTGTAAATGGTAGCATAATTAAAGATACGTGATACATGATGAACATACCTAGTGTTAGTGCCATGTAACTGGTAGTGAGATGCCCTAAACCAATAACAAATCTTGAAGTTAGAAGCAGCGTGAATCCAGATGTTATTAATGTTGCAACTCCTCCAAGAAAACATAGCAACATTCCTGCTATTAGTGGAATGCGTCTTCCAAAGCTATGAAGGAAATATAAAGCGGTACATTGAAAGCTTGTGCAATAGGTCTGTAAAAGAAATCTATGACCTGAAATCTGTGAACCTTCTGGATATCACAGTAAGATTATAAATGTAGGATTTGGAGGCGCACAGTTGTAGTTGTGAAGAGTTGTGTCTTCTAGGATATAACACCATATAGTCCATTGAAAATCAACTAAAGGTTTGGAGGAACTTTCACCTCCAAATCTTCATTTTATTTTCAACAGACTGTATGGTGTCGTATCCAAGAAAATGGAACTGTTTCAAAATTGTAAATGTCTGAGACTTAGTTTAATGCAATATAAAAACTGAAAATATACATGTATGCACACAGTATATAAATATCTGAATAATACATGTACGTTGTGGAGCTATCTATCCGTCCATATGTACATACCTACATATGTGTATGCATGCAAAACATGCATACAGATTTTAAACGTAACATTAACAAAGTAGCTGCAGTGTCAAAATAAGCATATGTGAAAAATCATATGCACAGTTACTTTTGGGTCATTCCATGTGAAGTCATCCAGAGAGGTCGCTCACCATTTTTAAAGATTTCAAAATTAGTACACTTATTTCTACATATTTTCACACCTCAAAAATATTTTTTAAAAAATTGCAACCCACTCGGTTCTCCCGGTACAGCCGTTTTTATAATGCGAAAAAAAAACGCGTTTTCGGCTCAAATAGAGGTTGCGTTATCTCCTTTATCTCCATAACTATTGAGGCTAGAGGCTCCAATGAAAAACCAATTTGTTCCTCATGATATGGACTAAAAATCATATTATTACAAAGTTTTACTCAACTCACTTCCTCTAGGTGTAATTAAGCTCGAAACTTACCTATCGATTTTGGGAAAAACGCTATTTTTGACCTTCAGCAACCAATGGGAGGGGGAAAGTATCAGATCTATGGTTTCTACCCTTTGTTTTCTCCTACATGAAGAATATAATCACATATTTTTGAACACCGTATCTATTTTCCAAAATTTTCCAGAAGCTTCCAAACTTTGCTCTAGGCCCAAAATTGGCCATTTTGAACGTCTCATATCTCCGGTGGGGAAGCTCCGAAAAGTTTTAAACTCATAGCAAATAATGCTCTATTCCAGAGTAAAATGGAGTTAAAATTACAACTTTGATATTCAACTAATAGCGAAGTTTTTATAATGCGAAAAAACGCGTTTTCGCTTGAATGGAGGATTGCGTTATCTCCCATATCTCGATAACTATTGAAGCTAGAGACACCAATAAGTAACCAGTTTGTTCCTCATGATATGGACTATAAATCAAATCATTACAAGGTTTCATTCAACTCACTTCCTCTAGGCCTAATTAAGCTCGAAACTTACCTATCGATTTTGGGAAAAAATCTATTTTTCACCTTCAAAAACCAGTGGGAGGGGGAAAGTATCAGATCTGTGGTTTCTACCCCTTGTTGTTTCCTACATGGGGAATATAATCACATAGGTTGAACCCCGTACCTAGTTTCCAGAATTTTCCAGGAGTTTTCAAACTTTGCTCTGGGCCCCAAATCAGCCATTTTTAACATCTCATATCTCCGGTGGAGAAGCTCCGAAAATTTTGAAATTCATAGCAAATAATGCTCTATTCTAGGGTAACTTGCAATTAAAATTACAACTTTGATATTCAACTATTAGCGAAGTTGTGGGCACTTTAAATTTTACAGATTTTGCAGGAAATTGTTCGTTTCTCGTTCAAGACGAGATTCCAAGTTTCCATTGGGTAAATCAACAGGCTACACTTCACCCTTTTGTGTATTACTACGAGGCGGTCACTATAACAAAATGCCCAAGCTTGTGCATAATCAGTGATCATGTAAAGCACGATAGAGCCACAGTTTGTGTTCCAAAAATTTCTTATCGCCCATATAAAGGAAAATGTACCTTCAGTCAGGAAGGTTATTTATTTCAGTGATGGTGCTGGAAGCCAATATAAAAACAATAAGAATCTTTCCAATTTATGTTATCACTATGAAGACTTCGGACTTGAAACAGAATGGAACTTCTTTGCCACCTCGCACGGGAAGAATGCCTGTGATGGTATTGGCAGCACGACGAAGAGGAAAGCAGTGAAAGCCAGTCTTCAAAGAACTCATTTTAATCAAGTCATGTGCCCGCTAGAACCGTAAATATTCTGCACAGAAAATATTCCAGGAATAGTTTACTTTTTTTGTGCCAAAAGAGGAAGTTGCAAGAAATGAAATCATTCTAGAAAGCATGTTCCAAAAGTGCAAAACTGTGCTCCACACAAGACAAAAACATCGGGTCGTCCATCTGGAGGAAAACACGGTCAGGTGTTATAAAACATCCAAGTCCGATGACTTCGAAGACATTGTGAGAGTGGACACTTGGTGAACTACGTGTATTTTCAAACAAAATGGACAATTTTCGTCGGAGTACACAAAGAACTAATACCATTGGATGCAGGTAAGCCAATTGTTGAGGTATTGTTTGTTTTTTTTTTTGGCAAAATTCAAAGTGCCCACAACTTCGCTAGTAGTTGAATATAAAAGTTGATGTTAAAAATGCCCGATTTTGGGCCCAGAGTAAAGTTTGGAAGCTCTTGTAAAATTCTGGAAAATAGATACAGTGTTCAAAACTATGTGATTATATTCTTCATGTCATCATCATCAGTAATCTGTCAAGACGACAGGTCCACAGTCTCTTTCAAAACAATTCCTCCACTTAATGCGATCTAGAGCTTTCTCCTTCAAATGACAGTATCCTCTTCTGTCCCCAAGGTCATCCAGCATCTTCTTACGTCTTCTTCCTCGTCTTCTTGTCACTTCTATCCGCCCATCTATCTTTCCTTCGATAGCTTCTTTTAGAAGGCAGTTTCTGCGTAAAACATGACCAATCCAATTAGCCTTCCGTTTTCTTATTTCATGTAGGATATTCCTCTGCTCACTGACTCTAATTAACACTTCTTCATTTCTCACATAATCGGTCCAACTGATCTTCTCCATTCTTCTCCAACACCACATTTCGAAACTTTCCAGATGTTTCTGATCTACTGCCCTAAGTGTCCATGTTTCAGCCCCATACAGAGCTATGCTCCAAATGTAGCATTTCACTAGTTTCTTCCTCAAATTTAAGTCCAATTTGCTGGTAAAAAGATTCTTCTTCTTGCTAAATGCAGCTTTTGCCATGGCAATCCTGGATTTAATTTCACAAGTACACCTTCCATCATCTGTTAACAAGCTACCCAAATATTTAAAACATTTCACATTCTCCACTTGTTTTTGGTCTATCTTTATTGTGACTGGGGTTGGTTGTCTCGAAATTTTCATTACTTTTGTTTTCTCCACATTCATTTCCATGCCATAGCACCTTCCAATTTCAATTAGTCTATCAATCATGCCCTGTAGCACAGTTTCTTCCTTAGCCATTAACACAAGGTCATCTGCATATTTCACAGTTTGAATAATTTGCCCTCCTACTTTGAAGTCACCGAGCCCATCCAGAGCTTCCTTGGTAAGGCATTCGCTGTACAAGTTGAACAGAATTGGTGATAAACAGCATCCTTGTCGAACTCCTCTTCCAATCTGCACACTTCCTGTCTCCCCCCTGTCCAGTCGTACTCTAACTTTCTGATCCATGTACAATTTGCTAATCAATCTTCTTTCATGCCAATCGATACCTGTTTCTTTCAGGATCTGCATTAATTTGGTCCAGTTTACCCGGTCAAATGCCTTCTGCCAGTCTATGAAGCAAACACACAGTTCTTCATCTATCTCCAAAGTTCGTTCCGCTATAATTCTCATCATCCCAATTGCATCCCTGGTTCCTTTTCCTCTTCTAAATCCAAACTGATCTTCTCCAAGTACATCCTCTATTTTCCTTTCAATTCTTCTTTTAAGTATCTTTGCTATTATCTTTGCTGTATGTGCAATAAGACTTATTGTGCGATGGTCGCTGCATTTTGTAGCTTTTGTCTTTTTCTTTAAGGCAATCATTGTAACTTCTGTAAAGTCCTTGGGCCACTCTCCACTTTCATATATGGTGTTCATTAGTTTTGTCAGTGTTTTCAAACCACCTTCTCCCAGTAACTTGAGCACATCTCCAGGTACATCATCATCTCCTGTAGCCTTTCCCTTCCTCATTTCCTTGATAGCTTTTTCCACCTCACTTTGTAAAATATATGGTCCTTTCTCGTCTGTATCTACTTCTTCTTCCGGTTCAACTTCTAAGGTTTCTGGCCGATTAGGTCGATCATATAGTTCTGAAATATAATTTTCCCAAATTTTCAGCACTTGCCTCTGATCTACTATTCTATTCCCCTGGGAGTCTTCGATGCCAACATTTTGAATCCCATGATTCTCTTTCCATCCTAGTTCTTTTGTCTTCATGTACATCAAATCATAACGGCCTGTTCTTTGAAATTCCATAATCTCATTACATATCTTCTCAAGATATTCCTTTTTGGCCCTGTCCGTGGCTCTTTTCAATTCATTCCTCAGTCTCCTGTATTTCCTCCTGCCTTCTTCATTGTTGACATTCTTCCATTTCCTTCGCTCCTCCATTTTACTCATCATCTCCTGTGTAACCCATGGTTTTCTTGCTATCTTCTCAACTTTACCTACCAAATCACTGATAGTATCTAACATGCATTCTTTTATATCGTTCCACTGCGCTTCAGCATTTCCGCTTTCACCTTCAATTGCACCGAGTTTCTCTTCTAGAGTCTCTTGCACGCTTTGTCTTTGAGCATATAACTTCTCCAAATCCCATCTGGGTCTGCGCTTTCGAAATCCTATAATTTTCTTCAACCTGGTTCGGAACTTGGCAACCAGCAAGTTGTGGTCAGAGTCAATGTCTGCCCCAGGAAGCGTCTTCACATCCTTCACACTGTTTCTGAATCGATGTTTCACAAGGATGTAGTCCAGCTGATGCCTCTTCCAATCCCCAGGTGCCTTCCATGTGTAAATTCTTCTCTTTGGCTTCTTGAACCAAGTGTTGGTAACAATCAATCCATTTCGTTCACAAAAGTCAATAAGCATTTGACCTCTGTGATTCCGTCTTCCTAGTCCATGTGATCCAACAATATTCTGATATGGTTCATCTCCAACAATGCTGTTCCAGTCTCCCAATATGATGCTGTTTGTGTCTCCTCTTCCATCTTCCTGAAGAATTTCTTCAATTGTGTCATACACTTTTTCCACTTCATCGTCTTCATACTCTGATGTTGGCATGTACACTTGTATAATCAGTATATCTACCGGTTCTGCCTTTAACTTCAGAGCAATAATTCTGTCATTACAAGCAATCTTCTTAACAACACTCCTCACTACACTTTTATGCACCACTATTGCCACACCTCTTTCAGCCCGTTCACCTCCGGAATAATACACTGTATAATCACCGCTTCTTCACCTTGTCCTTTCCACCGCACTTCGCTGACACCTAGCACAGACACTTCATTCTTCTGCATTTCCGTTTTCAAATTCTCCAATTTTCCATTCTTCATGTATGAGAAAACAAAGGGTAAACAACAGAGATCTGATAATTTCCCCCTCCCATTGGTTTTTGAAGGTGAAAAATAGATTTTTTCCCAAAATCGATAGGTAAGTTTCGAGCTTAATTACACCTAGAGGAAGTGAGTTGAGCGAAACCTTGTAATGACATGATTTATAGTCCATATCATGAGGAACAAGCCGGTCACGGTAGCTGAGCGGTCTAAGGCATGCACTGTCTTCGCTCGCTCGGAAGCCGAGATCGTTGGTTCGAATCCCACTCAGGGCATGGATGTTTGTGTGCGTTTTTCTATGTTTGTCTGCAGGTAGAGGCCTTGTGACGAGCTGATCACTCGCCCGTGAAACTGAGAGTTTCATGGAGGTAGGTCTAGGCCCAAATTGGGGCTGTAGGGCCACAGAAAAAAAAATCATGAGGAACAAACTGGTTTCTTATTGGTGTCTCTAGCTTAAATAGTTATCGAGATATGGGAGATAACGCAACCCTCCATTCAGGCGAAAACACGTTTTTTCGCAATATAAAAACTTCGCTATTAGTTGAATATCAAAGTTGTAATTTTAACTCCATGTTACTCTGGAATAGAGCATTATTTGCTATGAGTTTAAAAATTTTCGGAGCTTCCCCACCGGAGATATGAGACGTTCAAAATGGCCAATTTTGGGCCCAGAGCAAAGTTTGGAAGCTCCAGGAAAATTTTGGAAAATAGATATGGTGTTCAAAACTATGTGATTATATTCTTCATATAGGAGGAAACAAAGGGTAGAAACCATAGATCTGATACTTTCCCCCTCCCATTGGTTTCTGAAGGTCAAAAATAGCGTTTTCCCAAAAATCGATAGGTAAGTTTCGAGCTTAATTACACCTAGAGGAAGTGAGTTGAGTAAAACTTTGTAATAATATGATTTGTAGTCCATATCATGAGGAACAAATTGGTTTCTCATTGGAGTCTCTAGCCTCAACAGTTATGGAGATACAGAAGATAGCGCAAACCTCTATTTGAGCCGAAAACGCGTTTTTTCGCATTATAAAAACGGCTGTACTGGGAGAACCGAGCGGATTACAGTTTTTTTTAATATTTTTGAGGTGTGAAAATATGTAGAAATAAGTGTACAAATTTTGAATTTTTTTAAAAATAGTGAGCGACCTCTCTGGATGATTTCACATGAAATTACCCTTTCGGCATGTGTACATGACATTACATTTCAGTGTTGGATTGTGAATGATTAGTGCATTGCTCATTGCAGGTGACTTGTAAAATATTGTCATGATTATAGTGACTATAAACGGGGTTTTGATTGTTAATGAGATGCATTGAACTCGTAACTACAAGTAAGGATTTTGCTCTCACTGTTCTACACACTTCACAAATCACTATAGGACACACTAGGTCTTCTCAGTCTGTTACAGTCTTCACTAGCCAGCTCAGAGTCAGAGTCAGTATTACTTCAGGAGTGGAGTTTACTGCAAATAGTGCCAAACCCCTTGAGGATCATGACCAGATTTTATTTTCAACTGAATTCTTGTGGTCGTATATGCTTGGCTTTTCATCAAGTGTATGTATTTCATTTACAGCATGTTATTGAAAATTCTTCCTTCTGCACTATATACAAGTCCTCTGTCACTACAGGTTTTGCAAAGCAGATCATGCCTATCTTACTTATCTTATGCTACAACAGCAGCTTAGTCACTTGAACAGTTATAAGCTTTACCACTGCCAAGTTTAAGCCTCTTATATTTTCTGTACCGGGCTTTGCCTTGCCCAATGCTACGAACATGTTTATTCTCACGATTTTGTGTGACTCCGGTATGCACCTTGGAAATTTTCCAATTGTGCAGAGAATTGCAGGTGCTGCAATTTTACAAGGTAGGCGTCTGCGGTTAATTCCCAGACGTGGCAAGCATAAGTCAGTATTAATGTAATTAGTGCTTTATGGAGGGTTAGTTTAATGTTGGCGTGTAAATGCTCACTTTTGAATAGAGTAGACTAATAAATGTTCTGAAGGCCGTGGCTTCAATCATTTATATGTGTAGTCTCCTTGTAATCATCTCTACACCAAGATATTTTACATGATTGACAAAGGGGATATTTCATCCATTCATTGTAAGATGAGCCTCAGGGGGCCACAAGTCAATGAGAAAAGTAGATGGCTGGAGTCTTCTAGCTGTTCCTCTGTTGCAGTGCAAGTGTTTCCATAAGAACATGCTTGTTTTGTGGAGCCGTTACTTAGCAGCGGCTGTTGTATAGTTGCTTATTTCATGGTCGTTGCATAGTAACGGGTCTTCATGCCACAATATGAGGGCCATTCCTCCCATTTTCATAGTGAAACAGTCACATCAGATAAACGGTGTCATTACAGATATAAAATAACTACATAGTAGACAATATTACACAAATATTTATGCAGGAATATGTTTTAAAGCATAATGACAAGGTAATGGTATTTGCAAATAAAATTCACATTGTATCATTACAAATTTAGAATAGTGACATTAACATCTTGTCAACATTGTTACTATATTTAATCTCTTGCAATGTGACAAAATCAGTAAGGCTGAAGCATTAGTTATAACCTCCAGTAGGAAGTCAGTGTAGAATGGAATGAGGAAGAGGTGGACGGCAAGATGCAACTTTTCATGGCCTCTGTGGATCAGTTACAGTGCTGACATTGTTGAGAACTGTGCTATTAGAACTTGCACCGTATTACATTTCATGTAGGATCCCAAAATTCCAAATTTTACAGTTGGCAGTAATATTTTACAAATCATACAAAATAACCATTTAATGTGAATTAAGTGGAATACATGTACCTGTTTGCAATATGACCAGAAATAAAAGCACCAACTGAGGCTCCTACCCAGAAGGCAGTGTGAAGTGCATATGGTTTCCACTTGGAGTTACATACCCAGTTATTCTGAAGAAATAAAAGACCATAACTTTAAAAAATCATATAAAAGTGTTGGTACTCAGATGTCAAAGGATGTGAGGGGAGGGGGCTGAGACTGACCAGTTACAGTAAAGTTTATCTTTTTATTACTACTAATTCCATGAATTTTAGTGAAATAGTTCTAATTTATTTATTCACTTCAATGAAGGTCGCTGATATACATATTGTTGCATATTATTGGAAAGAGGTCCTGTCCTACTGAATTGACATTATCAGTATTTGTCCAGTACAGGTTAAAGGACATAGTGCATGCATTTAATGTCAGTAGCTGACTTGCAAAGACAGGCAAGTAAGCTGTATCACATACCTATCTGAGCTAGAAGAATTGAGGACAGCAATATGCCTTTATTTTTCCTCTCAGGCCATCAGAAATATGATGCAGAATGCCACTTTTCGAGAACTGTTTTAAGATTCTCTGTTGTTTTCCCTGTGGTGGCCCATGAGTGAAATCGATAACTTCATGTGCAAAATAAAAACAGTGCTTGAATTTACTAATTTGGATTGTGTTCAATAAAAATATTAAGATTATTTGTTTGTAACAAAAGGAATGCCAACTGCCAACAGAAATGTTCCCCTCCAGAGAGATATTAAATTAATTATAAATATTTATGTTGCTCAAAATTAATAATACCGAATTTAAACCTACCAGTAAGAAATGCGAGAGAGGTGCATTGAGGCACAGAGATAATATGTTGTGCTTTGGAATTTCGGTTATATTCCTGGTGATTGATAAAAAAAAGTCCATTTTTTACATTTATGTTAAAAGTAAATACTTGTAAAATTCAGATTTCAGGGGCTAGAATCTAGACCAAAAAATGGGACATTTCAAGTGTGAATGTAAAATATTGATATTTGACATTTAATTAACAAAATTGAAATTTCATTATTTTTGGGCCTGTGAGTCACCCACTTTATAGAGGAAAGTTGTCTGCTTCTAGCTGGTGTTAATTGAATTTGGAATGCCACTTATAAACATCAGTAAAGATTTACTTATTTATCTCGTTTCAATGATTGAGACAATGGAGCCCTTCCTCTTTTGTACATGCAGTGTTTTTGCTGCATATAGCAAGTATGATAGTCCCACAGATTTCACAGCAACAAACAGATGGATATGTGTGCAGAAACAGAAGGAAAATGCCATCATAAAGAGATCATCATGAGAAAATGAAGCGTCTGCTTTGTTGTATGTTCACCATACTTCTCACATCTCTACTTGTCTGACCCTTCCCACTAGAAAGAAGTTGTCAAAGACGAAAGCGAAATCCACCGTCTTGCAATATGTCACCATTCTGGCCAAGAACACAAACATGGGTCAGTAACAAGACTTCAGGGGTCAACTAAGAGAACTGGCCACAAATCAGCCAGTGCCAAAGTTTTTTTTTTATTGGTAGTGGGGTGGAACCAAGTCCCTTGTACTGCGGCAACTTCTGACCTATTGTACCAGCCTCAGATGATAGGTGAGGGTGATTGTGGAGCAGTTGGTGGAATGAAGAAGTGCTGCTCAGATAACTTTTCTAACGCCTGTAATTAACCAGATATATGGTGTCATCCCAGAAGATAGTCTTCGTCAGTATTTATGTTTATAAGCACACCAAGAGAGCAGTAGTTTCACAGTGTGGGGAATACAAGTCCGCAACTGATCACAACTGTGCTTATCATATACCCAATATAAGAAGAAGTATCCCTGTCCCCCCCCCCAACGATGTAATTTCATCACTCAAATTACTGCTTATTCAAAATCAGAGTTTGCTTGTGTAATTAAAACAGTTGAGAATAAGGATTTGTATTACAACCAAAGTCTGCACTACACATCACTTCAACAGCTGTGGTCACCACGGCATATCTTGCAAGAATGCAGAGTACATTTAATAACATCTTTGGGTGTTCACCCTTAGGTCCATGGTAAGATACAGGCAAATGACTGAAAAGGCTCCTCTAGCCTGCTTCCCAGAAAGCTTAGGAGCTGGCCGTGCTTTTTATTATTGTGTTTCCCCGATGCCAGTGTGGCTGATGTCGTCTTGGTACAGATTGGTTGGGAAGAAGAGAAATGGTGGTAGCATGAGAGGATAGGCCAACATGAAATAGAAACATGATGTAATGTAGGCCATCATTACCCGATTATTTATATTAGGCATGATTTTATTCTACTTTATACTCACCCGTTTATGGGCAGAATGAATAAAAGCACGTTTTATTACTTGAATCAGTATTATATCTGGTATTTGAACTCCAGTTATTCTTAGAGACATCGAATAGGGATGCTTCGTAAGATTTCGGATCACAACTATTAATTACCTCAGTTGTCAAAGTGCGGAATGTGTGGTTGTAGATCCAACCGTGGTCGCATGCGCGTACCGGGTACTTCGTATTATTTCCGGGTGTTACCGGGATGTGATAAGGAGGTTTCTTCGCAGAAATCCAACCGACATAGGCACCCGCAAGATCTCCGCCGTAGCGCAGACACTGGCTGAAGGACACTGAGGGAGCTTCCCCTGACCATGGTAGGCGCCCTGATGCACAATTGGTACTCTTTACTTACATTTTTCTGAGAACAAACGTGTGTCACAATTCTGCAGAGTTCACTGAGAAAGTTAGATGAATCATGGGAGTCTACTTCCTGCCTCCCCTTCAGAACCTACCAGTTCGGAAGTGGAGATTTTTAAAAACTAGTGTGATGCCAAATTAATTCGGCTTTATGCCTTTGCACCTCAGGTAAATAAATTTGATAGTGACAACTCTCTCGCCGAAATGTTACTATGAGATTATTAACGTAAGACTTGAGATGTGGGAGTGATGGACCTTGGCGTATACAGAAGGATAATGCATTACAATGACTCTTAAAGAAACAGGGTTTGAGGATGTGGACTGGTTTCATCTAGCCCTGGATGTGTTCCACTGGTAGACTCTTACGGTTTCGTAAAAGGCGGGTAAATTATTAAGTAGCTCCTCAGGAAGAACTCAGCTTCATTGAATACTTATGAAATTAAGAAATCACTCATCTTCGTAAAAATAAACTTCAGTTGTATCCGTTTCTGGTGAATGCAAGAGAATTATGATTTGATGAAAATTGTTTGCAACAGCATTCAAATATGCCAGGGGAAAAATGGATCGCATAGGCAGTAGGTCTTGAAACACTGCTGTGTAATCCATTGAAACCGGAAAATATACCAGGCCAAGAGCATCTACTTTCAATAACATTGTTGATTCGCGTTGTGTACAATACTTCGGATGAACTAGGAAATAATTTTGGTTAGTGTACATGTGCACAATACTTTGAATAAATGCTGTAGAAAAGTAAAAGACCGAAAGATCTTACAGAATGTTCCGAACATTCAGACTGGCATAAGTTGCCCGGGGGGTCCTATCCGCAAGTTGCTAATCAGGAAAATGTTATTTGTTTGTAACTAAAGCTGGAAAATTATGACTTTTGTTCGGGTTATAGAACTCACCAGTTGATATTACTGGAATACTGAATTTCTTGGCATCCACGCGAGATAACGGTAACTGTTCTTCGAGCGCAGCTATGTCCGAGTTCCAGCACCAGTGATCGGGTGTGATTAGAGAAAATATCTGTGTCGCAAACGACAGAGCACAGAGTCCATTTATCGTACCTACTAACACAACACACAAAAACTTCTGATATATTCCAAATTCCCCAATATGCTGTAGGACTCCTCTTCCCGCGTCAGCATTCACTGCTACAGACATGCTCAAGGGGCTCAAGGGGATGTAGAGTATGAACACTAGCCGAGAAGTTTTACAATAACCATAATGTACAATACGCAGCTGTCTTGCCGTAACATTGGCGTCGATTTTGTATGGGAAACAGAAACGGGCTTCTGATTACGTCATATTTTTCTTGGTACTGGCTACTTAATTAGAGTGCTTAATTGGGCGTGCGTACCATGATGATGACGGTTACGTACTAGAACTATACAAAGTGGATACACTGTGGGGATGGCTGTTTCAAGTTCGGCTGTTGTGGGTGGAAACAACATAAGAAAAGTACAGCGGAGTTGTGAAAAATAACATCATGCCGCAAACTACTTAGGTTTTTTTTTCCTTGGCACTACAGCCCCAGTGGGCCTAGGCCTACCTCCATGAACTCCGTTCACTTCGGTTTTTCTAGATCTTACACATTCGGTAGGACTCCTTGGGCGAGTGATCAGCTCGTCGCAAGGCCTCTACCTGTAGACAGACACAGAAAAACGCACGCAGACATCCAAGCATCCATGTCCTGAATGGGATTAGAACCCACGATCCCGGCTTCTGAGCGAGCGAAGACAGTGCACGCCTTAGACCGCTCGGCTACCGTGACCGGCAAACTACTTAGGTTACCCCTGCCAATTTCATTTTACAAACTACCCCAGACTCAGCACAGTCTGACTACGGGCTAGAACGAGCGCGGGTCGGAGTTCGAATCCCGGTAAGGCCAAGAATTTTCTCCACGTTGTCACGACCGGACACCCTATTCAGTGGGTACCGGGAGCTCTTTCCCCGGGGTAAAGCGACCGAGAGCGTGAAGCTGACCACTCACCTCCAGCTAATACCGAGCTGAAGAAAACGCGGATCTACACATCCACTCCCACATTCGCCTTCATGGCGTAATGCTTAATTAGTTAAGCAGAGGGATACATTTACCTTTACCCAGATTCATTAATCACCCTGTCATTGCTGCCATATAGTTTCGACATTAACGGCATCGTTGAATTCTCACTTTAATAAGAAAAGCGGTTTTGGTTCCTGCGGTAGATTAAAAAGCTGAAGAAATCCGTTTTCAATGTAATTTTATCTGTAAAAATAGGCCCCGTGCAAATGGAGTCCTAATTCATTGCTTGGAGTTGGCGGTGTTAGTTACTGGATACTCCGGAATTCTAAGTTGTTCGTCAGGCGTAAACCATCGTTTTTTTTTTATTTCACGGTTGTTTGTCCTGTTAATATAGGGAATAGCCGGAAGACTCTCGTTGATATATATTTGACTTCTCCTTCTATGCACGAAGTAAAAGCAAACAAACACGCTAGCTTTAACAAGCTTTTCCGCTGAAGCGGAAGAAGTCATTGGTTAAACTTAACACATTTGACTTAGCTGACAGAGACCTTACAAATAACCTTGAACTCTGTTGATGTCACCAGTTAATACCGAGTGAATAAGAGAATTCAGCCTCATCATAGAATGTGGGTATTTAAGGTGTTTTAAGCGTTTTATATTCCCAGTTTGTCATCTGTCAGCATGATATCCCACAGCGTTATGCATTCTGGGATTTTATAAGATATCAGTTACCACATATATTCGTATTAAAAAATATAATTTTGTATTAACAACAGATGAAGTTGTATTTTTCACAAACCACGTTTTCTTGCCACAGAAGCTAGCACATGAGCGAAGATACCCTTAATCTTACTGAGCTGTTTTTATTTCAGGTCAAGTGCCGTTGAATGAAGGTTTTTTATCATTTGAGAGGAGGTGTCATACATTTATGATCAAATAAATGTAGAAAGTTCTGAAATTTATACACTTATTCAATAAATGTTTCAACCGAATTAAACTTTTTAGAGTGACATAGGCCTGCATTCTTAATAATATATTGTTGCATTTCGGTGGATGTGGGTGTGGGTCTTATGGTTCGGAAGCTTTTCAGTTGACAGACTGAAGTGTTGTTGTTGTTATTATTATTATTATTATTATTATTATTATTATTGGAATTTGGTGTTGATATGCCCTAGAATTGGCCGATTCACTGCTTAAGCACATGTATCCTATACTAAGCATTGCTGAAGAGTATTATTGTTAGTATTGTTATTAGAGAAGGTGGGTTTCACCATGCACTTAGACCAGATATTGGTCCATTGTGCGTCTCCCTGTGATATTCTACCAGTCTCTATACCCTACCAGTACTGGTGCGTGCCATCAGTCCCGACTCAGCCAGCGAGTTCGGCCTCCACTGGCTCCGCGGTATCTCGATGCTTCCCCCCATCTACCAGAGGCGTTAGAGACTACTATTGGGTGGGAAATGTCCTGAATTTGGCTCAGAGGTCCCGTTGAGACATGAGGTTCTTTTACATGCTGTAAAGCTATGACACGGGACCCATGGCTTAAAGTCCCTCCCGGAGGACTGTTCCCTGACTTTTTCCACCCTTAAAAATTCCACGACCTCCGCGTACCTTGAGTCACGAGGTGGGAACGTTACCCCTAGACTACGGAGGCCGCTTTTGCTGAAGGGTAAGACAGGATAGCAGTTCGCTGATGTCCATGATACTGCTCTGTTTCATATGCCCTTAAATATTTCATCACAGAATTGGGTCTGTATAGTGTCTGTGGCATTGGTGGTTTACATTATATGCTTCAGTAATAAATAAATAAATAAATAAATAAATAAAGCAGTGTGCTTGTACTGGTTGTCATGGTCTCTTCGCTTGCGGATTTCTTGTTTTTCCTTCTACCCTGAAGATGGAGGCGATACGTTCCTCCGAAACGTCGATTAACACCACATTTACACAGTGCCACATCCCAGAAGACTGCTTTCTTCAATATTAAAATTTATCATAAAGAAATTAGGTTTGATGGTATGGATTGGTTCTTCTGGTTCAGAATAGAATCCAGTGGTAGCACTCTGTGAACATGTGAATGAACCTTCATATACTAAATGAGGCAACATATTTCTTAACTAGCTGAGTGACTGTTATCTTCTCAAGAATGACTAGTAGCTAGAACCCATAGTGTATGGTTAGGTAGGTATGGTTGATTATATATGTTCCATTGGTCACAGAAAATATGGCATAAAACAAATCAGTGTACAGTTCACACAAGTAATAAGTTAACAATTCTAGTTTACAGAGGCACTGTGCAGTGTTTTCTCTCCAATCACATGGGTCTCCCCTTCCACTGAGCTATGATTAGATGATGACACCACTGAATACAACCATATAGACGCATGTTTAAGGCATTGCCAACCTTGGAAACACTGTTAAAATAGAAATTCAAGTCATATACATTGTATATTTTCCCCAAGTTTAAATCTTCTGCCCTAAAGTTAGAGACAGCAGGTTCCTCTGAAACATTGGTACCCACCTACCAGACCTCATGGCTTTCCATCTCAGAAGATAGTAATCTTCATAATCACTGCCATGAGAACTTCAGATCTTACTTACCACTGTTGTTTATAAATACATTTCAAAGATAAAGGCATACTGTTAAATCAGAATGTATCCTCTCTCTCTTCCAGTATATTATGCAGTTTAATGAACTGTACCCCTTGTCATCATCATCTCTGGGAATTGCAGCGCGCGAAGGGAATGAGAATGCTGTTAAAATATTTTTGAGATCTGGTCAACGAGTGGATATTGGGGATAACCGAGGCTGGACACCTCTTCATGAGGCTACAGCAGCAAATAACATTAGGTGCCTCCATTTGCTGCTTCAGAAAGGTACTACTGCTGTAGCAGTAAAATAATATTTTAGAACTGGCACTCTTAGATGCGCACTTCACAGCATAAGTTTTAAGACTGTGTTTTCCTTGACACAGCTACAGAAGTCTAGTTGCTGTAACACAAAAAATTTGTGCTGCATAAGATTAATAACTGCAACTTTTGTCAGATGACAGTATAGTGATACAGAAAATTACAAACTAACGTTTCAGATCTGCTCTGACTCCAGAATAGATAGTAAGAAGATTAAGATTAAATCCTGCATGGGATAAATAAGTGAGGCCTTCAGGAATGCATTCATGTTCACCCAGTTGCCTCTGGCAGTTTGGTGATGAGCACATTTTAAGCTTGATCTCTTTTTATTAGATGTTTCTTAAATGGATTGGTTGCTTTAATAGTAGTAGTAGTTGTAGTAGTAGTAGTCTTTATTTCCATAAATCCAATACTAAAAATACATTCAGAGGATGTGGAAAAGTCAGACAAAACACATAAATAAAAACAGTACAAGGTACCAAGTCAATATACAGATATGTTAAATAATACTACTGAGATCATAAAAAACATAACGAGTATCAATTCAAACCTTCCTATCAAAAATACTCAAAATACACTTCCAAATATATAAAAGAAACAACAATAAAATACAGCACAAAATGCTAATCATACAGATATAATAAAATAATACAACTAAAACCCAAGAAAATAACCGGCATTAAGTTTACTCTTCCTATTAAAATTCACAAAATACTCTTCCAATACATAACATGAGTAACAAGAATGTAAGTAACAGAGAGCAAGGTAATAAATGTGTAGCTTTTGTTCCTCTATCTAAACATATACAGTCAATGCTGAGATTTTAATATCCCATGTAAAGTACTTGTCTGTACCTAACCACGAGTCTGGGAAAGTGGATTTTGTTGAATGACTGGTAGATTAAAGTTATATTCTGGAATCTTGTATGTAAAGATATTCCAGAATAATGTTGTCACGTTCTTTTCATGTTTCTATCCGTTACTTGTTATTAGGAGAAAACTACAGTAGCAAGGAATGGTGGTAGTACAGCAGTGTCAAGCAATTCTTATTGTAGATGTTCAAAATGTCTGCCATTAGAGTCCAGACATGATCTGTGATGTCAAATAATGGAAGTGCAAATCATTTGCAATTTGGTAACATTATTCTTTGATATCCTGTAGCATTGGTAACTTCTGGAATGAATATTCATAATATTGTTGCAGGTCAGCAGTATGTGAATCAGAGGACTATGGAAGGAGAGACACCATTGTTGTTGGCATGCAAGTTTCAAGACAGCACAGAACTGGTACAGATGTTACTTGATTGTGGTGCAGATGTTAACTTGGGGGACAATGAAAACCATACACCACTGCATGAAGGTATGATAGTGATCATGGCATGCTGCAATAATGTGTTACTCTGACTGCATGTGTCACAAAAAATGTTGGAAACCCTGGTCTGGGGTGACAGGTTATAATGTTAGTATTATAAATATGGCCTATGTTGTAGGTTGTAGTAAACAAAGATGTGCTCAATCAAGGGTGGATACTTTAAAATGTTTGATTTGCATGTTGAAATCTAGATATATAGCAAGGTAAGGAATGAACCTTTGCCTGTTCCTATCCATTTCCCTTCCCTTCTAACCATTACATAAGATTGTTCCATTGAAGGAAAGTAACGCAAGTAAAAGCAATAGACACAGCTGTAATGAGACACAACAGCTATATTAAAAAAAAAGATGAAATATAGAAAACAAATTAATCTGAAAGATACAGTGTGTGCCCCTGTAGTTACAACCATAAATACTGATCCTGGTATAGTTTCTGCTTATAAAGTCAGAAAAATAACATGCTGCAGCCAGTATAAAAGTCACGTAAAAAGCAGTAAATAAACAGAAGTAAAATACTTGCATGTAGAGTCATAAGGAAACTGGTAACTTAATTAAAGTAATCAATAGTGTATCCAAGAGTTCAGTGTTACAGCAACATCAGAATCAGATATAGGATTCAATAGGTGAGCATGATTTTGAAAACAGTGCATGTCTTCTGGGATGCAAAGGCATACCTCCAGCAGCCACCCTGGGCAACTGCAGGTTTTGATGTACCTGAGTTAGAATCGCAGATGAAACACGCAGCAGAAACAGTGCTAAAAGCTGACAGAAAAAGGAAGGGGTTGGAGAAGCAGGGGAAAGCAACAGAGGGGATAGAAAAGTGAGGTGGCACTTGGCTCTCAAGAATGTAATTCCTGAGCCAGTGCATAGTTAAGTGTAATAACAGGTAAAGTTATCCTTATACTTAATTATATAATTAAACACAAAGCGATGAAAGCATATGGGGGTGTGGAGTTATAGCTCCACAGTTCTTAACCTTGACATTAGATGAAGGTTAGTTGTCAGCTTTGTGCCTCTGCCACTTTACACCCAGGAATAGATCCCTTAGTTGCCATTAGATAGGAGTCCTCCTGTATTATGGCTAATGGGACTGCTTCTCCAGAGATAAAGCAGCAGGGTCATGAAGCTGACAACTGACCTTCATCTAGTGTCAAGGTTAAGAACTGTGGAGCTATACCTGCACTCCCCAATGTGCCTTCATTGCATGATGTTTAATTAATTAATAAATTAGCACAGGGATAATTTTACCTTTACTTTCAGTAAAATCAATACAACAATCACGTGAAATAAAGCGGCAGGAGCCATACTAACGCCACTTAGTGTAGGGTCATTTTATGACGATACACCTTTGAGCAGTTGCCTTTTGCTGGGGTATACTTCTTGGTTTGTTGCCAATAACTGCTTCAGGAATCTCTACCTCCATTCCCCCTATATGTCTTCATAGTATAATGTTTAATCAGGCATGGGGACAAATTTTCCCAGTAAGTAATTAATGTTTGTTACATTGGCAATTCACTCACTTGTCATGCCATCCTTAATATTTAGTAATGAATATAAATTTTTATTTTCGTTTTCTAATCTTCTCCATTCTCCAGTGAACTTCCCATTTCTTAAGTCCAAATATTCCCCTCAGCAATTCATTGTTACCTTCAGTGTGTCTTCTTACACCCATCAAAGGAACAGGTGAAATTTTCTGTATTGGTACATAAAATAGTTTTGAAATTCAATTGTGGTTTTCAGCCTGTAGAAATGGAAGACTCTCAGTGGCAAAAATATTAGTTGCAGCTGGGGCCAACGTGAATGAGATGAACTACAACAGTTGCACCCCACTACACTGTGCAGTCTCTTCAGTATGTATATCTTTATACTTATTTCTGAGATCTGTTATACAGTGAACACTGATGTGCTATTATATCTGTCCACAGATTGTCAGAAACAGTGAAAGAAATCCGTGGTTTGGAAGTTCGGTGCAGCTAAACTATTCAGTAAGAATAGAGGGTTTAAAGTCATGTGTGAGATCTCATGTGTAAGAAGGGGGGAAGACACAGTTTATTCTGAAGAAGTAAAAGAGTTGAGTGTTAGTGGCTTCATGTGTCATAATTATGTGATGTGCAACATACATTTTCTGTATTCTGTGAAAACATACACAAATTTATGGTACACAGTTTAAAGACGTTTATGGTTCATTACAACAGTGCATGATTTGTAAGACACTGATGACTTTTGGGAGTACTTTTGTAATCATGGATACTTTTTTCAAATGCATATTTTCGACTTTTAGTGCATATTTTTTACTGCTAAAGCATGTAAAAATACATATTTACTAATTTTCTAGCAGCTAAAAATTCATTCCCTATNCCGCAAACCGGTTAATCCGCCCCCGGATAATCGAGAGTTGACTGTATTGTCAGTTTAAGATACTATTTGTTTACAGATTGAACTCTTATGAAGCCTCTATTTTGTTTCCAATGAATTATTGTTCTTGTGTCTATAGTGTTGCAGAATATAGGGAAATAAGGCAGATAACCCAGCCATGTTACAGATTACAAGTTAAGTGCATGACCAATAAACAGTCCCATTTTAAAATAGACTCTCTATTCTTGTCAACATGAAGTCAAAACTTAGTATTATATACAGAAATGGGAACACGTACCTTACCTGTATGGTTTATTAGAAAGACTGTTTCTTTGATACAGCATAAAACTCTTTGAGTTGCCTATAGCCTGAGCAGTTCCACCCATTATCTATCTTAAATTTTTCTCAGAATTTTTAGTTGTAATGCAGTTTAACACATTCAAAATAATTTGTTGTTCTTAGCTTCTAAGCAGTTCTCCACTCATACTTTTTACAGAACCAGCATGTTATTTTAACAGTACATACCACCATGATAATAAAGAAAAACTGAACTGAATGCGCTAGACTCAGTATGTAAGAAAATTGAGCAGCAAGGTCTGTAACATTTAATGAGTAGGACAATGATATTCCAAAACAGAAAGGAATGTTATAGAAGAAGAGTTTTAAACTTTCACCCGAGAACAAATAAGTTATATATTACTTTAAGTACCACAGAAAATGTGTATTACAGCCCAATGTGAATGAAAGAAACAAATCCATGAGACAGTAAACTCTTTTACCAGTGTTTGGCCATTAAGATATGTGGATTTTTTCCTCATGTAAAATTCTGTTTCTCTTAACATGTTGCATGAAGAAAAACGTGGAATGGCAGCCAAGTTGCTGTTCTAGCACTATGTCAAGAACACATTGTTTTTAAATCACATACTAGATTATTTGTAACTTATTTTTCTGTTTGAGACAAATGCCACATTGGTGAAATACCTCATCAGTAAAGGGGCTGATGTCAGTATTCAGGATGAATGTGGTCGAACATCATTGTTCTTAGCCTCAGAACTGCAGAGATGGAATATGATAAAACACATGGAAACTGCATTATGTCCTGTGGACACCAGGTTTGTGATAGAAAGTTCCTTAAGTGTAATATTACTAGCTACCTCTTTGATATTTTGGAACTTGAGAGTTTGCAGACCATATCAGAAGTCCACATGGACTTTGTCTCAAGTCACATTGGTCATGCAGTAAAGAGTTGGTCTGGCATAACAAATTCTCTGAGAGAAATTCATTGAAGATGAATCATGTTGTGGCTGGCCATACATGTGTGATCTATGTATGTATGTATGTATTTATATATTAAAAAAAATTGATGAATTGGTAAGACTTGACTATTACAGCAAGTTGACATCATACAATAAGTAATTATGAATGATTCTAATGATGGTATATTTTGGACTTTGTCTATAATGTAATATTCTGAGAGAACACAATGTTTTGGAAACAGGATCCGTTTCCATTTCCTCGAGAGTTTTGTTGAACACAGTCACTGGGCAATGTAAATTAGTCAACTAGACCTGTATAAGCATGTAAGATCAGGTTATGTCAGTAGGAGATGAGAAAATTAACAATAAAATGTGTGAAAATACTCAGACCTAAAACTAAGACAGAGAAGGATGTTGGATATAAATCCATTAAACCAAATGCAGAAATACTGATACAAAAGAAAACTTAAATTTACATACTGTATGATGCCCACCCTCTATGGAGAAGAATTGAATCCCCAAGTGAAAATAAAAGACTACCAGATACTACCAACCTGGGGGACATTTTCAAATTGGGTTGGCTGATCAGGTATGTTAATCATGCCATCTGGGCTGACAGGTCCACAATCTCTTCCAAAACAATTCCTCCACTTAATGCGATCTAGAGCCTTCTCCTTCAAATGACAGTATCCTCGTCTGTCCCCAAGGTCATCCAGCATCTTCTTACGTCTTCTTCCTCGTCTTCTTGTCACTTCTATCTGCCCCTCTATCTTTCCTTCAGTAACTTCTTTTAGAAGGCAGTTTCTGCGTAAAACATGACCAATCCAATTAGCCTTCCGTTTTCTTATTTCATGTAGGATATTCCTCTGCTCACTGACTCTAATTAACACTTCTTCATTTCTCACATAATCGGTCCAACTGATCTTCTCCATCCTTCTCCAACACCACATTTTGAAACTTTCCAGATGTTTCTGATCTACTGCCCTAAGTGTCCATGTTTCAGCCCCATACAGAGCTATGCTCCAAATGTAGCATTTCACTAGTTTCTTCCTCAAATTTAAGTCCAATTTGCTGGTAAAAAGATTATTCTTCTTGCTAAATGCAGCTTTTGCCATGGCAATCCTGGATTTAATTTCACTAGTACACCTTCCATCATCTGTTAACAAGCTACCCAAATATTTAAAACATTTCACATTCTCCAGTTGTTTTTGGTCTATCTTTATTGTGACTGGGGTTGGTTGTCTCGAAATTTTCATTACTTTTGTTTTCTCCACATTCATTTCCATGCCATAGCACCTTCCAATTTCAATTAGTCTATCAATCATGCCCTGTAGCACAGTTTCTTCCTTAGCCATTAACACAAGGTCATCTGCATATTTCACAGTTTGAATAATTTGCCCTCCTACTTTGAAGTCTCCGAGCCCATCTAGAGCTTCCTTGGTAAGGCATTCGCTGTACAAGTTGAGCAGAATTGGTGATAAACAGCATCCTTGTCGAACTCCTCTTCCAATCTGCACACTTCCTTTCTGCCCTCTGTCCAGTCGTACTCTAACTTTCTGATCCATGTACAATTTGCTAATCAATCTTCTTTCACGCCAATCGATACCTCTTTCTTGTTGTAACGCCTGCATGACATTTCCTCTAGAAACACTCCCCCTCGGAGATGTTATATATATCTGAAAATAAAGAAGAATTAGTATGCAGAGAGATAAGGGTGTTTAGAAGAAAATACATTTTATCAAGGAATCCTGTTTTCATTAATTCTGTGATTTAGCTTACTTTTTAATCATTCCACATAATCAGTTGTGTTTGGACTGGAAAGTATGTGTACCAGTAACTTTCTACAGACAAAATCGATATATAGAAAACTGCAAGCATGTGACTTATTATTAGTGCCCAAAGTGGTCTGGCTTATTTTCATTTGGACATTTTCTGTTGAAGTGGAAGTGATAACTTAACCGCACAATATGCAGGTCAGTGGATGGAGCTACAGCACTTATGGTTGCTGCACAGAGTGGAAACTTGAAAGTGGTAGAGGAACTGCTGAAAAGAGGTGCCAATCCCGACTTGGCAGCTCATGATTTTACCATGGCCCTTCATCTTGCCATACATTCAGGACATCTAAGGTAGAGTACTCATAGAAGTCTGTTTGGATACTGAAGAAACAAAATACTAACTCATTTTACATTTAGTTAAAAAAATCCCATTATTGCATTTGAAGAATTAATCTTGCTTTTTCATGCAGGATTTGTACAAAATGAACACATAATAGGGAAGTCCTACTGTCTGCATATTTCACCTCAGAACTACTTAACACATTAGTGAATGTTAACTTTGGAGTCTGCAGTAAAAGTTGTTGGACAGAGTGTATTTTAGTTCAAATCAGTCTAATACAGCTTATGCATTTCATGATTCTTAAATTGAACTGTATCTGTTGGGTTTTCACTGTAGAATGTTGAGTGATGTAAAATGTACTGTTTTACATTATTCCCTCTGAAGAAATCCTTTCCTCTACTTTACATAGAGGAATATACTTACATACTTTAAAACTTACCACTGCCACTGCCACTGCCACCACCTCAAAGAACAAGAATAATAGTAATCACACATTTTTATTTGGAACAAGTTGATGATTCATAAACCTTCCATTGTAATGATAATTATGATTTTAATTTGCAATCATTCAAGAGTTCTTCCTTTGAGGGAATTCCAGATTAGATTATATATTTCTTGATCATGAACTGTGTCAATTCCTAGAGTTGGATTTTTTTTTTTTATTTCTGTAAAACTGAAATGCTGTTAAGGTCTTGCTAATTTAACAATATTAGTTTCATGTATTTATGTAATTAGGAGCTCCATGTAGAAAGTAATACTGGACACTAATGACATTATGGGTACTTCACATGGGGCCACCACAGATTTATGGGTACTGTTATTGAATGAATGTTAGTAATTTATTATAATTAAATTTTAAATTACTGAGCATTGTACAAATAATTGACTCTGATTGGAGGTGGTTTATGATTCTCAGGATAATTTTGTCTTACTTGTTTCTGTTATGAATGTGTGTTCTTCAGTAGTCACAAGATTACGTTTTTTATTTGGATTACTCAGTGGAATGCAATATTTTACATCTGTGCAAATGTTGCAGTGTGGTCAAATTGCTTCTAAAAGTGACAAGTAGAAATGCTGTGTTGGCTCATTGCACACATCCGAAAGCAAAGACTGGTCGCAGTCTGTGCTGCCTTGCAATAGATGGTGAATAGTAAGTTACACTACATAAAAATATTTTCTAATATTTCTGTTTGTTCTATGTTAGTTTTATCTGCATGAAATGCACATAAATCCATAATCAGGGGGGGGGGGGTGTCCATCTTATCTGCATTTTCGTCTCTGAAACTGTGGATAACATTGTAGTGAAATTTTGTATTGTGATTCTACACTAGAAGTCATCAGGCCAATTTAACACATTGTTGCAGGGTCTTGTTGAAGTGCATAATTTAAAACCCATGCAGTTGCATACAGATCTTGTAGATGTTATGTATTTTTCAGCTGTCTCATTCTTTGCTCATGAGTGCTTCTCTGAATGACATATGGGCTCAACATTATTAGCAGCTTGATGAAACATGATTAGATCTTCTAATAATAAACTTAGACCAATTCATCATTCAAAATCACTGTATAATTTGATACTATTTAACCTTTGTAGTTCAGTAAGCATTATTAATAACTCAAGAATCAGTGATTCAGCATTGTCATGGGTTTGATATGATTCACAGCCTGGATGTACTGAAGCTTCTACTGTCAAGTGACCTGGGAAACTACATTCTGCATCTTCCAGTACACTGTGATGGGTCTCTCCTAGAAAACAAGCCTCATCTTGGGGTGCTTTATTCTGAATGTTCACCTGTCAGCTTCCTTTTGTTGACCAAGCTGAATGACCTAAAAGATGACATACTTATTTACCTTGAAGTACTACTTAACCATGGTAATGATAGCAACTTGCAAGAATTTACTCTTAGTTTCAATCCTGCAAATCATGATGATATGTGTAGGTCAGTTGTTGTTAAATTCGTCTTACTCCATTCTCTTTATCAGCCACTTGTAATTCAATTAAGACCTGTTTTGTTATACATTCTGTGAACAAATTGTGTAAAATAAACACATAACTGGGAGGTTATACTCCTCTGTATATTTCACCTCCAGAACTACTGCTCAGATGTTAAGGAAATGTGGTGTAAGAACTATGCACTGAAAGTTTTCAACAAATTGCATTAACTCCGCATTGGTCCAGCTTTATAACATTTCTCAAAAACGACACATCACAAAATGAATTATTACTCTATAATAACTTGGAAATTGCTTGCTCATCAGAACTGAGATTTCTAGGAATAGATATTATAGAAACCCTTAAATGGAATACCAACATCCAATCATTATGTTCAAAACTTAGTAAAACATCCTATATAATTAAATCACTAAGAGGAGTTTTGAGTCCAAATATGTTAAGAAGCATTTATTTTGGAAAGTTTCAATCGTTATTGAGATATGGAATAATTTTTTTGGGGGGGGGCGTGAAAGTGATAGTATAAAAGTATTTAAAATGCAGAAGAGGGTGTTGAAAATAATTAATGACTTGGTAAACAAGAGTCATGCAGGCAAATTTTTAAAGATTATGACATCCTCACGGTCACATCTTTGTATATCTTAGAGGTGTTATGTTACACAAAAAGCACAAAGCAGATTTGATCCAAAATATAAATATTCATGGTTATAACACAAGAGTAAACTAGGATTTTCATGTTCAATTCTGCAGAACTACATTATTTTAAAAAAGTATGGTTAATATGGGGATAGAATTGTATAGTAAGGTGCCAAACAAAATAAAAACTCGGTGGGTTTTCAGCTTTTAAAAAAGACTTAAAATCATTTTTATTTGAAACATTCTCTTTATACAATAAATTAATTTGTTAGTTTTAATAAAAAAGTGGGCGGTGCAAGTGCTTATGTTTGGATGTCATAGCCATTCATGAGCTGTATATAGTAGTTTGTATGTGTTTTGGAATGTTGTATTTATATATTGCTTATGATTGTAACAAATGTTGGTAGTATGCTTGTAACTTTGTAGATTTATTTTGTTAACTTGTATTACCGAATAACTTGTCCAAGTGTTACTATGTAGCAACACGGATGAAAATAAAACACAAATACAAATACATGACAAAAAATACTGTTTTATTCCCAGTTGCATTCAGGATTGAGAGGGTATAGTAGCAGATCACATGGTACCAATCATTTGTCAGTACTTAGAAACAAAATATTCCAGTTCTGTTCATATTTACAAATTCTGATTTATAACGTCAAAATTTTAACATCAACAAATTTGGAAATGTTAACTCCATGGAACTGAGCACATATTGAGAAGCCGCCAGTTGCATAGTTGTGGAAAAGTAACATTTTGCAAAAATGTTAATTTCAAAAACTGCACAAAACATTTTGTTGACAGCTGTTAGCTTAACCAGAATATAACAAAGAGTGTGAAAGAAGTACTTATACAAGCCAACAAAGTATTCTTACAAAGGAATTTTATGGCATTCATCAGATTTTTGTATTTCTACTTTTCTGATGTGGAAAGTCACCTCTTCTATTTCACACTATCATATGATTTCTTGTAGTTTAAATAGGTATATTAATGTATTATAGTCTCTCTCTCTCTCTCTCTCTATATATATATATATATATATATATATATATCATTTGTGTTAATATAAATATTTTGTCATTTGTTGACTGATGTCATCTAAACTCGCACTGTTTTTGTAAGAAAGTTTCTGCAAAGTTTGTTAGTTAGTCTGTTAAACTAATAAACTGCAATTGAGCATTTTCAGTGAGCAGTTAGTGTTGGTTGTTGTTTTATTTAAGGTTTTGGTTAATTTAGCAGTTACAAGAAGATTAAAGGGAATGATTTTATTCTGAAGTTCAGATAAGTTCTGAAAGTCTGTCACGATGGTATATTAATACAGTTATTGACTTTTTGGACATTATCTGTTGGCCTGTGTTTTAGTTAAAAGCAGCGTTTCAGAGACTGGACTCTCTGTCTCCATCCTCGGGTAAAAGCCTACGAAGTTGGGCCCAATCAATAGAGCTAGTACCACTCTCCGGAGATAGTCCAATCTCCAAAACGTTTTTAAATAGAAAACAGGACAATGGATAATGTCCAAAAATTCAGTTGTACCTGTAATTCAGATTTGGCTTTAAGAAAATAAAGGTGTTTATATGAGAATGAGTTCACACCAATGTTTTGTCATTTATGTATCAGCTGGAATATATTTGTTTTCAAGGTTTCCCTGTAAATGTGAAAGACAAACAGTCTCTGCCTCCATTAGTTGCTGTCATGTTGCAACCCGGGTGTGACCATCTTATATCCTGCTGTGTGGATATGCTTTTGGCTCATGGAGCTGATATTGAGTATACTACAATGTAAGTTACTGTATCCTTTTCACTTTGCTAGGCTTGTGCCTACTGTTTCAGCCACAGTCACATTAAATTGAACTACTTCTGGAAGGTCAGAAATTTCTTAGCCTAAATGCTGGTTATTTAATTCATCAGAATTTGCCAAATGTGGGAAAATAATACATTTTTGTATTAGCCTTCATCTTGTACATGAAAGAATATTCACTAAATCGGGATTTAACTGTTTTTGGAACTAACAGGATATATGTATGAAGGGAGTTCCGTATATAATGCCTCCCACTTTTTTGTGTTAATCTGTAACGTCTGAACTGGATATTGGTGGTGTTGTAGTAAAGGTTGAACCTTCCCGCCAATGTACTGTTAGTTTGGTTGTCGTGCGACAGATAGCGACAGCAGAGCAGTCTACCAAAATGGCGTCTGACATAGAAGTGCGTACAAAAGAGAGATGTGTTATTGAATTTCTCACTGCTGAAAAAATTGCACCCATTGACATCCATCGATGCTTGCTAATGGTGTACGGAGACGATACAGTGGATGTCAGCGCAGTGAGGCGGTGGGTAGTGCATTTCAACAGTGGTGAAAGTGAAGTGTGCGACAAACCACGCCCTGGGTGTCCCTGCTCAGCTGCCACTCCTCACAGTGAACAACGCCTCGATCAGGTCATCCCTACAGATTGGCGGATAATGACCAGGGAACTGTGTCCATGGCTTAATATCGGCTGTAATGCATTGGAAACGATGTTGGGGAAGCTGGATTATTGCAAAGTTTGTTCCAGGTGGTCCCGGGGATGCTTACACAGGACAACAAAACTCATCAAATGGAAGTCTGCCAGGACCTGTTGCACCAGTTTGAGGCTGAAGGTGACCAGCTTCTGGACAGCATCGTCACCGGAGATGAGATGTGGTGTCACCACTACGAGCCGGAGTCCAAAAGCCAGTCCATGAAGTGGTGACCTCTGGATTCCCCAAGAAAAAAGAAGTTCAAGAAACAACTATCGGCAGTGAAAGTGATGTGCACAATCTTTTGAGATAGGTGGGGTGTGATTTTGTTGGATTTCCTGGAGCCTGGTGAGACTGTCAATTCTGAATGCTACAAGACGACGCTGACTAAGCTGAAAGCCCGCATTTCCAGAGTCAGGCCAGAGAAACAGACAACCTTTCGCTTGCAACACGATAACACTAGACCCCATATCAGTTTGGCGACCACTGTGCACATTGCAAAGTTTGGCTGGACTGTCCTACCACATTCACCTTATAGCCCTGATTTAGCACCTTCAGACTTCCATATCTTTGGGCCTATGAAAGATGGACTACGTGGGCAACATTTTCCAGACAACGATGCTGTCATTGCAGCTGTAAGAAAGTGGCTAGCCTCTGCTGGCGCACACTTTCACGGGCACTGCATTCAGGCTTTCGTTCATCGCTGGCAAAAGTGCATAATGAATGGTGGTAATTATGTGGAAAAATAACTATAAGTAGCTGAAATATTGCTCTATTTAACTGTGTTGTTATGCTTTCTGTATCTGTTGTAGTTTTCATTAAAAAAAATAGGAGGCATTATGTATGGAATTCTCCTTTTTTCAGATATCACAGTCAAGTGGTTAACTTTCATGCTTCTTACTCCAGAGATCCTAGGTTCAAATGTTAACCAGAGACTAGCTATCCTGATTGGTTTTTGTGGTTTTCATCAGTCCCTCCATGCAAGTGCCAGGAAAATATCTCAAATTAAGCCATTGTCACGCCGGTCACGGTAGCCGAGGGTCTAAGGCATGCACTATCTTCGCTTGCTCGGAAGCCGGGATCGTGGGTTCGAATCCCACTCAGGGCATGGATGTTTGTGTGCGTTTTTCTGTGTTTGTCTACAGGTAGAGGCCTTGCGACGAGCTGATCACTCGCCCAAGGAGTCCTACCGTATGTCTAAGATCTAGAAAAACCGAAGTGAACAGAGTTCATGGAGGTAGGCCTAGGCCCACTGGCGCTGTAGTGCCAAGGAAAAAATAGCCATTGTCACTATGTACTCTGAGCTACTGATGTAATTGCATAAACCACAAATAAATAGGAAGGACAAACAAGAGGCTGAAAAACATGACATAATGATGGGCTTCATAATTTACCCCCTTTGCCAAATATTGCTAGGACAGTTAAATCAAGATGAACTGATATACTCACGCAGTATAACTCAGTATAACACACGCAGTCACAGGAGCAAGACACAACATAAAACACAATACACACAAGATAATAGAAAGAGTGCTCCGACAGAAGAGATACGACGTAGGAAAAATCCTGAACAATTTTAATATTTTTAATATTTATCAGTATATATGATAAATATATATTTTAATTATTTTAATATGAAGACAAGGCATGCAGTGAACTAGTTTGACGTTAATCGAATAAGCATCTGAAGATGGCACTTTTGTGCCGAAATATGTAGTGCGGGAGAAAGGAGTGAGGTAGATAAATGTATGCACTAAAAGACGGTGAAATAAATCATGGACTTGGTGATTTGTGTTTGCAGCTGTAAAATGGTCCCTGACCCTCTTCTAGCAGCATGTATATCTGGGAATAGTTCTGGAGTATTGCAGTTGTTACGGGTTGGCAGCAGTGGTTTGCCAGATGATTTGTTAAGATATCTTATAACACATGGTCATCTGGATTCATCACCCCACATGATAAACATGGTACGACTTCTGCTAGAGCTTGGTGTCACAGAGCCTGCCCTGTATAGCAGATTGCAACAGTATTTTCCTGAGGCCAGCAGTGATATCCAAATAAAGGCCACTGCTGCATTTTTGGGTAATTATATGTAGTAATCTTTCGACATAGTAATCGTAGGTATTGAAACTTTATATATGACATAGAACACTTCCGTGAGCAACTAAATAATAAATACTTAGTAGCATTACTAATGTTAGCATTGCAGTTTAAACAAGCCTTGAAAATTTTCTCAATATTGGCTCCTTTTACTTAATGTAGGAATATCTAGATTGGAGAATAATGGAAAACCTTGCTTCTTACAAATAATTTATAATCTGATTGCTGATCTGATATGGTTTTTTGCATGGTTGATGTAATCTTTTGCCTTGATTTTTATGCAGCTTTTCATTTTGATAAGCATGATTTATATATAATGTTTACCTGTAGAATTGCCTGTATATGCTTTTACTGATAGTATTACGATATGACGAGTCCTGTATCAATGTATTTTGATTTATGGAAAATAAAATAAAGAAAGAATGAAAAGAAAAGAAAGCACAGACAAGCAGGTCAGGCACTAATGCCAACTGTAGTCATTATTTGTTATTTGCTGTTTCTCTGACCCTATGAATTGGACTTAAATTTTGGAGTGACTGGGCTAGAATGCTGGGTATGTACCCTATTCATTTCTTATAAGGTATAAAAGTAAAAGATTTGTGCATGTATGTATATATTGTGGGGCTCTTGTCACTGTGTGTAGTCTTGTCATTACTCCGATGACAACCCACTTCTTCGGAACAGTTTGTTGGCCCTGAAAAGGACCGTGGCTGCTGAGATGCTTGATCGGAGAGGTAGCGCGGCGCACGCCGGTAAGGAGAAAGGCTAGTTACAGTGAATGGCTGGTGAAAAGGCTAGTCGTTGAGCGCGGTCGTAGGAGCCATGAGGCAGTGGCTACGCCAGAAGCCCAGTGAGTCGGACCGTAACACGACCACCGGCGAGTCCAGGCGCGGTGCCCCAGTGAGTCGGGTGTGAGAGCGCCGGAGAGCCGAGGCATTCGTGCCTGGCGCAGCCTGCCGATGTCTCCGAAGACCGAGCGCTGGCGACGAAGCCTGCTGGTTGAAGTTGCTTGCTGTGTGGCTTGATCGTAGACTGCTGATGAACTGCATGGAACTGAATAACTCGGCTCTGGAGTCGCTCCTTTTTGTACGCTGGTCGGTGGGGCGGAGCCAAACTTGAAAGTGAGGAGGAAGAATTGATTGGCTAGCGCGCGTAATGACGTAGATGTGGGCCAGGAGCGATCCCAGTATAAATATGAACGTTTGAAGCAATCAGATTGGTTAGCGCGCGTGATGGTGAAAAGCGATGTGAAGAGCGAGCGTTGCAGAAATGCGTGATAATGTGGGATGTTCCCACAATATATATATATATATATGTAGTCACATGTTAGTGACTGTACATGGGGTTTGGATTGATAATTTGATTTACTGAATGCATATAATTCTTAACTACAAATAATTATAACACCAACACATTCTACAAATCACTACTGCAAACACCAAGTCTTCTGTGTCTTCACTAGCCATTGCTTGGTGACAGTGTCTAACAGTGTAACTCGAGACTCTTTCCTCCAACATAACTTCTGGCTTCTGTCAACATCTGACTCATGACAGTTATAAGAATGGGAGTAATTTTTTAATGATACCATTATCAAGTTGTAGTACTTGACATTGTCCTCTTTTTCTTTAATGCTCCACACCTTTATTCAGCTTTTGGTTGATGCATTAACTGTGCATGTTAATAGAGTCTGACTGCATGAAATAACTATTAAAGGCCAACCCAATCTAAGACTATTTCAGTCCTGTTTACATCCTTGAAACCTGTTTCCTTCAGATCCGTTTTAATGTTATCATCCCACTTGATATGTCCACTCTGTAATTTTGTATTAACTTCTTGTTTCTTCAATCCAAGTGACATTTATAACAAACAATACTACGCATAAAGTTTCTGATTCTGATATATACAAGTATAATGACAGTGCCAACAAAACTTACTCACATCCGAATGTTTCTGTTTTACAGCTTCACTTCAGGTGTGTTCTCTTCAGAAGTTATGTCGGATAGCAGTGAGACGGCTCTTTGGTCACCTGCTAATCCCAGCAATGGAACAACTCCCAGTACCTCATTGCCTAAAGAACTACTTGACCTATAAAACACTATAAACAAACTTCATTGTTGATATTTCTTTGGTCTTAAGATGTGTGTATATTTTTCCCTGTGTACTCTACTGATAAAAAATTACCTATTTTTTTAAATACTTCTCTAGTGCATAATTCAAAAATATTAAACATATATACAAGGAAGTCAGATGTGAACGGCTGTTCTGTTTAATCATGTTAGAGGATATAAAATATTAAAATAAAAAATGAAAACATCAAATATTTTAAGTTTTCTTTTTTGCTGATTTCTCCTTTTCCATGACCTTTTGCATTTATATACTCCATTGGTGCACTTTTATTTTTACATTTATTCCTCTGGGAATTCTATATTATAATCAATCCATCTTTGCCCCAATTACTCAGGCACTAACAATAATTATATAAGCTGTAACAAGAATGTGTAAGTTTATACCCAAAATGTCAGCACTCTCACTGTGCAGTTATCCCTTGCTGCATTGGAATGCAACAACTGGATAACGCTACCCTAAGGTTGGTCAGGGTGTTCAATAAGAACTGTTTTTGGAAGTAATTGGAACAGGATTTTACTTTAGAGTCTAGGAAAGGGACAGGTAAAGAAAGGTCTAATTGTAAGAAACTTCAAAAGGACTATACTGTAATGCTGTAAATTGTATGACTTTTGTTTCTAGAGTACACAAGAATGGAGCTGTTTGTCTCTGCATCTGAAGCAATTGAGGTTTTCAAGAAATCTACCGGGGAAGTCCTTGGAACCTCAGATGCAAGGCTCCTTAATGTAAATGCTATGTATAAGTGTGGAAAGGCTGTGCCATGGAGGGCAATGAGTTGGGAGAGAGTGAGGGTGCCTATAAGGAAGTGATGGTCATGATAACAACTAGTAATGATAATGGAGTTAGAGTAGTAAACTTTGTCACATCCAAGAATCCTATTGTCAAAAATAATATGTTCCCACATCATAACATCCATAAATTTACTGCACATCTCCTAATGGAAAGATGCACAACCAAACTGACCATATTTTGATAAGTAGGAGTCGTCATTCAAGTATACTTGATGTCTGATCATTTAGAGCAGTAGATTGTGATACCACAATCTGGTGGTGGCAGAATTTAGGAGAGACGGACAGTGAGCAAACAAACAACACAGAGTTCATACAGAGAGGTTCAATCTCAAGAAATGAAATGAGGTAGAGGGTAAAGAGCAGTATCATGTTGAAGTCTCAAATAGGTTTGCAGCTTTGGAAAACTTGGACACTGAGGTGGATATTATTAGAGCTTGGGAAACTGTTAAGAGAGAATATCAAAATTTCAGCCAAGGAGAGAAGGTTATTATGAATTCAAAAGGCATATGCCATGGTTCTATGAAGAATGCTCAGAATTATTAGACCAGAGGAAACAAGCCAAATTGCAATGATTACAAGATCCATAAGCTAATTCATTCTGTTAGTAATAAGGAAAAACTGCCAGATCAGTGGAAGGAGTGATAGAACTGACTGTAGTAATTATCAGGGAATATCAATGCTATCAACTGCATAGAAAATTTTATGTAATACTCTGCTCTCAAGGTTTAGTCCATATATTGATGAAACTATTGGGGATCATCAGTATGGGTTTCAACATAACAGATTAACTACTGATCTTTTGCATTCATCAGATACTGGAGAAAAAATGAGAGTACAATGAGACAGCACATCAGCTCTTCGTAGACTTCAAGAAAACCTATGATTCATTTAGGAGGGATGTATTGCACAATATTCTCATAGAGTTTGGGCCACCCCTGGAACTAGTTAGGCTGATTAAAATGTGTTTAAACGAGACATATAGTAGAGTTCATACAGGTAAACATGTGTCTGATAATTTTCCTATCCAGAATGGTCTAAAATAAGGAGATGCTTAATTGCCACTACTTGTCAACTTTGCTTTAGAGTATGCCATTAGGAAGGTCCAGGAAAACCAGGTGGGACTGAAATTAAATGGGCCACGTGAACTGTTGGTCTCTGCTGATGATGTGAATCTACTGGCTGATAATATAGATATCATGAAGAAAAAAACAGAAATTTAATTGACGCAAGTAAGGAAGTTGCTATAGAAGTAAACACAGAAAAACTGAGTATATGTTGCTGTCTCATCACCAGAATGCAGGGCAAAATCACGACATGAAAATAGGTAACAGACACTTCGTAAATGTGACATAGTTCTAACATCTGGGAACAACTATAACAAGTCAAAACCTGATTGAGGAGGAAATTAAAGGAAGATTGAATTCAAGTAATGGTTGCTACAATTCAGTCCAGAACCTTTTGTCTTCTTGTCTGCTGTCTAGAAACATAAAAATTAGAATATACAAAACTATAGTTTTTCCTGTGGTTCTGTATAGGTGTGTGGAACTTGCTCTCTGACATTAAAGGAGGAACACAGACAGGATGTTTTAGAACAGGGTGTTGAGAAGGATATTTGGATCGAAGAGAGATGAAGTGACAGGACGGAGAAAACTACTTAATGAGGAGCTTCATAACCTGTACTCTTTGTAAGGTGTAATTAGAATAATCAAGTCAAGGAGGATGAGATGGCCAGGGCATGTAGTACGAATGGGGGAGAAGATGATTGCATATGGGATATTGGTGGAAAGCCAGAAGGAAAGCGACCACTAGGTAGACCAAGACATAGTTGGGTTACAATATTAAAATGGATCCTAGAAAGATAGGGTGGGATGGTATGGACTTCATCCATCTGGCTCAGGATAAAGACCAGTCGAGGTCTCTTGTGAACATGGTAATGAACCTTCAGGTTACATAAAATGGTGGGAAGTTCTTGAATAACGGCACAATTGGCAGTTTTACTCAAAAAGGGGATCAGCTCCATGAGTAAACGGACAGGGAGAACATTACCTTCTTTTTATGCCTCTTCACTGCAATGCACCACATTTTGGGGGGGTGGAGGTGATAGAATAAAGGTATTTAAAATGCAGAAGAGGTTGTTGTGAATAATTAGTGGACTTGGTAAACAAGAGTCATGCAGGCAAATTTTTTTAAAGATTATGGCATCCTCCCCCCTCGGTGTCTCCACCTTATCGTGGTGAGGGGGTTTGATTATGCCAAGGACCTTGAGAGCTATACCAGCAGTAGCGTAGCTACTGGCAGGGCCTCCCTTGCTGGACAGGTCAAAGGGTAGGCATCAGACGAAGAGAGACACCAAAAACCAAAAACTGATGCCGGAAGCAGCGTCATCAGCACCGACTTGAAGCACAGAGCAAATGATGCTCGAGATGGTTCAAGTTCATATAGCAACAGGCGTGACCAGAGTGATTTGAACGTCTGTTGTACTGCAATGTGGTAAGCAAATGGAAACACTACAACAANTTAATGGCATCCTCACAGTCACATCTTTGTATATCTTAGAGGTGTTATGTTACCTAAAAAAGCACAAAGCAGATTTGATCCAAAATATAAATATTCATAGTTATAATACAAGAATAAACAAGAATTTTCATGTTCAATTCTGCAGAACTACATTATTTAAAAAAAGTGTGGTAAATATGGGGATAGAATTGTATAGTAAGGTGCCAAACAAAATAAAAAACTCGGTGGGTTTTTCAACTTTTAAAAAAAGACTTAAAATCATCTTTATTGAAACATTCTTCTTATACGATAAATGAATTTGTTAGTTTTAATAAAAAAAGTGGATGGTGTCAGTACTTATGTTTGGATGTCATAGCCATTCATGAGCTGTATATAGTAGCATGTATATTTTTTGGAATGTTGTATTTATATATTTCTTATGATTGTAACAAATGTTGGTAGTATGCTTGTAACTTTGTAGATTTATTTTGTTAACTTGTATTACTGAATGAGTTGTCCAAGTGTTACTATGTAGCAAAATGGATGAAATAAAATACAATACAATACAATAAGACAGAAGTTCTCTTTCCTGATTGTCTTAGTACATGATACATATCCTTGAGATTAAAAGAATAATTGCTCTGAGCTTAGTTTCTTGCTTCACCTATGCTTTGAATCTGAAGATGAAAGCGACATGTTTTTCTGAAGTGTCAATTGACTTAAATTGTACTACAGGACACTATTTCCTTCAAGCTTCAAGCTTATAACTGGGTGACTTGAGGTGGCATACAATGTATTATCTTATCACTTCATCTGCCGATGTGTGGAATATCACTGAAACACTAAATTTTTTATTTCATTTTTCCCAGCATTACCTGGGTTAATGTGGTTAACATGAACGCTCCAGCATTGACTCCAATGCATAATGCAGCGTGTAGAGCCGAGAGGTAGGCGGATATACCAGGGACCGAGAGGGGCATTTGTAGGCCCTCAATTATATGCGGTTATGGTGGTCAATTGTATGCAAATTGGTAAGGGTCGGCAGCGGTAGGTAGGACTCCTTGGACGGGTGATCAGCTCGTCGCAAGGCAGCTACCTACACAGGACAATACGAACAGATTAACACAGACAAACATCCATGCCTCGAATATGATTCGAACCCGCAGCCTCAGTGGTTGAGCTGGCGAAGACACTTCATACTTTACGCGCTTTACACCGCGCGCCTACTATGGCGGCCTGTAAGGGGTGTGGTCTCCGTGGTCTCTATCGGTTTCTATCGTCTCTGTCGTCTGTGTAGTGCTCTGTAATTTATTACACAAACTGTACACGCGGTACACAAATTTTGTGAAGCGCCAAAATGGCGGCTACAACGAATGGTAATGGGAATCTAGTTGACGAATTTGAAGAAGCTTTTCAGGTACTCTTTTAATCCTCATAAAGTATTTATATTGCGTGTTACGAAGTAAGTTTATAAGGAATAATTATATTTTACTTCCTTACCAGTCATGTCTGTCCGTTCTGACGAAAGAAGAGGTACTGCCAACAATGGAAAAAGATGAAATTCGAGTCGAGGTGGATCACACAATTTTACGTTTTATAGATTTAGCTCGTCAAATGGAGGCCTTTTTCCTACAGAAGAGGTTTCTTTTATCAGCCCTGAAACCAGAATTAGTGGTGAAGGAGGTAAGGATAGTCAGAGTGTAGGTCTGTATATTCAGAGATAGTCAATATAGTGCAGTGCCCAATGAGATGTTTGGGTTTATTTATTTATTTCGTCTCTATAGATCATTGTTACATGATATAGGGTAAGTGAGTTACTGTACATTGGCCGATTACAATAAGAGAATAAAGTTAATTGTTTACAATAGATTACAGTAGATTACAATAGTTAAGATTTCATATAGTGGAAGGTGGAATCCATATTAGGTCCCCTCGGCACGTCGTCTTCCATATGTCTTATTATACCTGTACTGGTGATAATGCTTATGGAGAATTTGATGGAATGAGGATTGGCAGGGGAAACCAAAGTACTCTGGGAAATCCTGCCCCAGCGCCACTTTGCCCATCACAAATCCCACTTGACTAGACCGCAGCTGTGGGAAGCCAGTGACTAACCGCTTAAGCTATGGCACAGCCTTTGAGATAATATTGGTGAATTTGGTGATAGCACTGGTATAAAGTTTCACTGTAGACTACACTGCAACATCTCACTACCTCTGTTCTCCCTTCCTGGTGCAGCTTCTTGGCATCTGCAATCTCTCCAGAATAGCCTATTAAGGTATATCTTCGACTGTGTTATCTTGGTTGCTGGAAGAAAGAAAGGTAAATTGAGGTACAACAACAATATACTTACATGAAACGCATGATAAATAATGACACCATAGCAAATTTTCAATTACAACTAAGTCAGGAATCATGGGAATCAGTCTTTGATGAAAATGATGTTAACAAGAGTTTTAACTTATTTTTAAATATAATTTTGAGAACATATTATTCCAGTTTCCCTCTAATTCAGAAAAAAAGTGTTCAAAAAAACAATACATGGATTACACCAGGAATAATGAAATCCTGTAAACATAAAAGAGAAATCTACAATGAATTAAGAAACAATAAGGATCCTAATTTTAGAGTTTATTATAGAAATTATTCTAAACTACTGA